TCCTGAAAGCAGCACAGGAAAAACAAATAGTTACCTACAAAAGACAGCCAGTAAGAATAAGCTCTGATTTCTCAGCAGAAACCATGCAAGCGAGAAAGCAATGGGATGATATATATAAAACCCTGAAAGAGAAAAATTTTCAACTAAGAGTTATATATCCAGCAAAACTGTCCCTCAAATATGATGTTGAAATTAGGAGATTTCCAGATAAGCAGAAACTAAGGGAATTTGTTAAAACCAGACCAACCTTACAAAAGATGCTAAACGGAGTCCTTTGAACAGAAGGGCTGTTATGCACAGGGAGACAGCTCAGGGGACAGAAGTGCATGGAGGGATGGACACAGGGAAGAGGTAACTATGGGGAGGAAGTGGGAGGGGAGCTGTTGCATTGTGGTAAACTGTGGTCAATTTCATGAGACAAAGTATATGTGAACCGCTGTATGGAAAGTAAATTTGCTCTGTGAACCTTCACCCAAATCACAATTTAAAAAAAAAAAAAAAAACTTTCGATAAATAAATAAGTTCCCTTCCACAGGCCAAAAAATGAAACTGGATATCCAGGATACCTCCTATCATACCCAAAAACAAATTCAGATTAATTAAGGACCTAAATATAGAAAACTAAAACCATGAAATTCTTAGAAGTAAATACAGAGGCAAGTCATCAGGCCTAGCTTTTAATAAAGGATTCTCTAATACAGTAACAAAAGCACAAACACCAAAAGACAAAATAAATAAGACCTCATAAAAATTAAAAACCTTTGTTCATCAAAATACTTTACCAAAAAAAGTGAAAAGACCAGCTATCGACTAGGAGAATACTTTCAGAAACCATTTACCCAACAAGAATAATCAAAATATATATAAAACTTTGAGAACTAAGCAAAAAGACAAATAACCCAATCATAAAATGAGCAAAGGACTTAACCAAACAAGACATTCAAATAGCTACCAAACACATGAGAAGGTGCTAAATATCACTAGCTATCAGAGAGATGCAAATTCAAACCACAATGCGATACCAATTCACTTCCACTAGGATGGCTAAAAGGAGCCCTGGCGGCTCAGTAGTTAAGCACTTGGCTGCTAATAAAAAGGCTGGTGATTCTAACCCATCAGCCATTCTGTGGGAAAAAACGATGTGGCCATCTGGTTCCATAAAGATTTACCACCTTAGAAACCCTATGGGGAAGTTCTACTCTCCTATAAGGTCACCGTGAGTCAGAATCAACTCAACTACTACAGATTTAGTTTTTGGTTTAGGATCACTAATATTTAAGAAAGAAAAAAAAAAAAAACACAAAATAACAAATGTTGGGAAGGATATGGGTAAATTGGAACCCTTATTGGTTGCTGGTGGAAATGCAAAATGGTGCAGCCACTATGAAAAAGTGTGGCAGTTCCTCAAGAAACTAAAAATAGAACTATCATGTTGTTGTTATTGTTGTTGTTGTTGTTAGGTACCCCCGAGTCGGTTCTGACTCATAGCGAACCTACGTACAACAGATGAACCACTGCCCAGAACTGGGCCATCATCACAATCAAGGAGTCTTCCTACAATCTTGGTGGTACATTCTTCATATTATTTGCTCAGGATATAGATTGACTAAATATAGTGAAGATACAACTCTGACACACACCTTTTCTGATTTTAAGCCCTGCAGTATCCCCTTGTTCTATTCAAAAAAATGCCTCTTGGTCTATGTACAGGCTCCTTACGAGTACAATTAAGTGTTCTGGAACTCTCATCGTTTGCAATATTATTCATAATCTGTTGTGATCCACAAAGATGCATGCCTTCACACAGTCAACAGAACTACCATCTTTCTCTCTCTCTCTCTCTCTCTCTCTCTCTCTCTCCCTCCTTCCCCTGCCCCTGCCGCCGTCAAGTCAATTTCAACTCATAGCAACTCTTCCTTGGGTTTCCGAGGCAACATCTCTACAAAAGCAGATTGCCCAGTCTTCCTTCTGAGGAGTGTCTGGTGGGTTTGAACCACCAGCCTTCTGGTTAGCAGTCAAATGCCTTAGGCACTATGCCACCAGAGCTCTCAGAACTACCATAAGACTCAGCAATTCCACTCCTCAGTATATACCCAGAAGACTTGAAAGCAGAGACTCAAGCAGGCATTTATACACCAATATTCATTGCAGAACTATTCACAATAGTCAAAAGATTGAAAACAACCTAAACGCCCATCAACAGATAAATGGGTAAACAAAATGTGGTACATGTATACAATGGAACACTACTCAGTCAATAGGAGAATGAAGTCTTGATACATGCTACAATATGGATAGAGCTGGAAGACATTATGCTGAGTGAAAAGGAGTCAATCACAAAAGGACAAATATTGTACACCCTTACTTGTATAAAAAGACAAGAAAAGGCAAACGTGTAGAAATCAACATTTATTAGTGGTCACCAGTACAGTAGGATGAAGAAAGGAGACGGGTAACAGTGATAGAAAAATCTCATTAAGGGTAGAGTTGCACAGCTGATTATTGCAATTGCTGTCAATAATTTGTACCCTGTAAAAGGCTGAACTGTCAAAACATGTGCAATACTTAGAATAATGACTAAAAAAAAAAAAGTATCTCCGAGGCTGTTTTTGTACAGCCAAATGTCTCATGGGATTTGGTTCTTTGGTTTAGGGGTTTAGGCTCATGGTTTCATGGAACATTCCAGTTAATTGGCCTAATAATGTGGTGCTTCTGTTCTACCTTCTAGTCAGTCTCATAGTGCCTAGGGTCTTAAGAGTTTACAAATAGCCAAGGCACAGAAATTGGTCTCTACTCCACTGCAGAAACATAAAAAGAAGACTCAGGAATAGGGTAAGATATGGAATGTGTGGCTAACTGCCTCCGTGAACAACTGCTTCCTTTGCCACAAGACCAGAAAAACTGGATGGTGCTCAGGTACCATTACTGAACATTTTGATCAAAGATCATACTGAAAAATCTTGATCAAAAGGCAAAAAATACAAAACAGAATTTCTAATTCTCACAGACTCATGATTTTCTAGAGGCATAGAGCCTGGACCCCTAAAAACTACTGATTACCCTGAAGTCTTCTTGAAACCTTAAACCAAAAACACCCCAGTCTTACACCATGCAATAGAACTAGTAAATAACGTCTGCCTTGAGCACTGTGCTCTTTTAAGGTCTATTTTTATACATGATCACATTGATAACAACTAAAATGATTAGATAGGAACTTTGGGGAGCAGTGAGTGTATGTTAATGAGGAAGACCTCAGAAAAGGAGGGTGAGAATGGTTGCACAACTCAAAGAATGTAATCAGTGTCACTAATTACACATTTTGAATTGGTGTATGTTTCTCTGTGTATGTTCTCAACAACAACAACAAAATAATTACTTATTTTTTTAAAAAAATCCATAAACATAACTGGCTACAAAGAGAGATGTCTGTATTTTATAAACATTAGGTAAAAAAGCACTCAGAATACAAAATTTCCCAGGAATTTGTCAAGTATATTGTATTTTACCAATTTTAAAACCAAATTGTTGATCTAAAAACCTCAAAGAATGAAAAAATGCTACAGTTTTAACTGTAAGATACCATCTTGATTTGATACTCCTTAGAGAGATCAATCATGGGAGAACAGAAGGGCAATATATGCAAAGGGACACCGCTTGGGAGGCTGGAGTGCATGGGAGGGAAAGACACAGGGAAGAGGTAACTATGGGGAAGAAATGGGAAGAGAGCTGTTACATTGCGGGAAACTGCAGTCAATGTCATGAGACAAAATGTGTATGAACTGATATACAGAAAATGAAACTGCTCATAAACTTTCACCCAAATCATAATAAAAAATTTTTAAAAAAAGATACCATCTTGATTTGATTAGAAATGCATGCTGATTTTGAAGGTGTTCAAATGTAGAATACGAACATCTTTGAAGAAATAAAACACAGTCATAGCCTTAGCTTGCCCCTATACTCTCTTATCTTGGGTCTTCCTCCAAGTCCCTGTAAGTTGCATTTTCTCTTGCCTAACATCTTCACAGGCTCTCTTATTCCTTTCATTAAACACCTCTTAAAACCTTCTTCTAAACAGAACTTTTCCTTTAAGTACAACTATATCTTATACCATCTCTTTTCATCACATTTGTACTTTTCCTGGTAGATAACATCATAATTTAACCAATTAAATGTTTGTTTCAAAAAGCTACTAAATCTATGATGCAATATAGTCCTATGCCACATGGAAACATAGTCTTTGTCTTCATAGCCTTGCCACACAGCCTCTTAATAAATGTGTTTGATGGTGAATCTCACTCCCTGAAAATGTCCTGAACATACTCATTGGCAGAGCTTACATTTTTATACAACATGTGAAAGAAAAAAAGATTTTCTTACCTGGCTTCTAACAACAATGGGGTGGTAACCCATTTTGTAGTGAGAGAGGTGGTAATGGCTTTTGAGTCTGCCTTTACTGCTGAAAACAGCCAGAGTCCAGTGAATATAATCAGAGGTCCCATTTTATAGCAAACCCTTAAAAAAGAAAAAAGTTTTACTACAAGGAAATGTTTATACTTGAATTATAATACTTGGAGACACAAAATAAATGAAAGTTACAGAAATAGAAGACTTCTGAAATACAACAAAATAAAACCTAGTATCTAAATCGATAAATATCTGCTTACTGACGGACAAATGGTTGAAGTCATGTAGTTCATTACATACTTTCTACAAAGTCTCCATTTCATCTCACAGGCAGTGTGGTAGTTAAGTTTGTGTGTCAACTTGGCTGAGCCTGCTTGAGTGGCTGGGCAGCTGGATGTCGTATTCCCCATGATGAGACTGGTAATCAACTCCATGGTAGAATCTACTGTGAGCAGCTGAGGAGCTGTCTTAGGAATATAGTCTGCTTCCTGTATATGAGGAGAACCCTTGGGGAACGGTCTTCAGCTTATGGCAAGCTTGAACCCGGCATGTAGCCATATAGTTGTTCAGCAGCCTGCCATATCTGTCACACTTGGGATCTTTAATGGACTTGATTAATGGCCTGCCATTTGTTTGGTAACATCAGGACTGTGCCTTTTTACTTGTCAACCTTAGGCTTGTCAACCTCAGCAGCCAGCAGCTGTCTGAGTGAAGAAAAGCCTCCAGCTTCAGTAGGCCGGGAGCAGGAGGCAGACCTGAAGCCCAAGGTTGAGGGCCTTTCACCCAGCCTTTAGAGCCTGGCACTTTGAACTCAGACTTAAAGCCTCCAAACTGTAAGAGAATAAACTCCTGTTTCTTCAAGCCATCCCATTTGTGGTATATTCTTGTCAGAGCAGCACTGGGTAACCAGAACAGGCAGTCTATACCACACAGCTGGTGGCAGAGTGGGTTTCACACAATCATACTTCATAAGGCAAGAGGGGAAATAAGGCTGAAACTGATGAAAACGCAAATTATGAGTCTCAAACACAGGTTCTAGAACAAGGAAATTTATCCTCGTATCCTTGGCTGGCAACAGGAGCAGGCAGTGTTTCATTCTACTGTGCACAGGGGTCAGCACAAGGCGGGGAAGACTTGACGGCACCTAAAAACAACAATATCCTTGTATTGTCAGACCACCTTCTTAATCTACAGAATGAGGAAATTGGGTCTCTCATAAAGTGGACCAGCTATATAGCGCCGGATCTCTTTTATTCTAGTCAGCAGTCTTTTCATGGTACTCCAAAATCCTAACAGACTATATCCAAACACTGCAGAATGTTTCTAGCTGCTGATTTCTCCAATATGATTTTTCATCCCAGAAGAGTCTATCAGAACCCTAATGAGAAGCTTGACTCCTAAATAAATTCTTAGGACCACAGAAGTCCACATTTGTATTCCACAAATTCAAATGAGAACTAAAGAGAGGATGTGAATGAGTGGGAAGCACTACAACATATCTGAGTTTCTAAATGCTAGCATTTTGCTGTTGTTGTTAGGTGCCATTGAGTCGTCTCCGACTCATAGCAATCCCATGCACAGCAGAACGAAACACTGCCCAATCCCGCACCAGTTCCACAATCCCTGCTATACTTGAGCCCATCATCGCAGCCACATGTCAATCCATCTTGTTGAAGGCCTCCCCCTTTGTCATCGACCCTCCACCCTACCAAGCATGACATTCTTCTCCAGGGAATGGGCCCTTCTGACAACATGACCAAAATAGGTGAGACAAAGTCTGGCCGTTCTCACTTCCAAGGAGCATTTCGGGTGCACTTCCTCCAGGACAGATGTTAGTTCTTTTAGCAGTCCATGGTACTTTCAGCATTCTTCGCCAGCACCACAACTCAAAAGCATCAACTCTTTTTCAGTCTTCCTTATTCACTGTCCAGCTCTCACACGCATACGAGGCGACTGGATATACCATGGCTTGTGTCAGGCACACCTTAGTCCTCAAGGAGACATCCTTGCTCCTCAGCGCTTGAAACAGTTCCTTTGTGCTTGACCTTCCCAATGCTACACATCTTCTAATGTCCTGACTGTGCTTCCATTGGCATCGATTGTAGAATCAAGCAAGATGAATTCTTTGACAACCTCAATCTTCTCTCCATTTATTGTGATGCTGCTCATTGGTCCAGTTGTGAGGATTTTTGTTTTCTTTATATTGAGAC